GGGGCAGGGCCAGGAGAGGTGGTTTGAGGGTCCCCGGGCGTGGGGTGCTGGTGACCGGACGCCATAGGAGGTGTGCTGGAGGAGTCGCCGGAAGCGACCCCGGGGAGCAGAGCTGTTCCGTGCCGGGGGCTCCGTGCTGTGTGTTCAGAGGAAGGAGACCGAGACCCCGTGTGACAGCGTCCTCAGGGACAGCTACAGGTGTCTGTGTCCGGCTGCCGTGCTCACCCCCTCAGACTCCCTCACTTCTGCCAGGCTGCTTTGAGCGGGGTCAGCGTGTCTGGTAGAGCCTGTCCAGTCCTGGTGGAGCTCCAGTGGGGAGAACTGCCACAAAAAGGGAAGTTTGCCTCTTTCCAAGTCCCAAACTGTTGCCAGTCTCCACGCCCTCAGTTGGGCTGTTGCTCATGCAAGGCCACACCAGTTCTTGTCCTGGCTCTGGAGGTGCCGGTGCAAAGATCCCAGTGGTAAGCGCCTGCCAGACTGACTACAGCTGCTGACCCGTCCCTGCCATAGCTTTCCATTTGCAGGAGCATGATGCTGGGCCATTCTGTCACTGCTAACAACTGGTTAATGCTAACGTGCGTGTTATGTCAGAGCTGTGAGAAGGAGAGGAGGGTTTCTGTTTTCCAAGACACGCTCCTAATCGTTCCCCTGCCCAGGCTCCACAGAGCGCTCAGCCATCTGGGCAGCTCCTTGTGGAAGGGGATGGGTCAGGAGTAGGTTAGTGTGGAAACAAACTGTATCTTTGGCTTCAACTGCCCTTCAACCTTTTATGCTCAGCCCTGCAAACTCCCAAGTTGAAAAGTGGCAGGGCACAGGCTGCTTTCTGCTGTGAAAGTTGCCCTGAAGGTTTGTCCTTTGGGCTCCCATGTCCAAGAAAATTCTATCCATGTGGCAGAACCGGCACTCACAGGCTAGGCAGCACTGCTAGTAGGCTCATCTTTTGCCAGAGATTCTGCAGTTTTTGGTTGAACAGCTGTGAGGAATGTTACTTTTATTTTCTAAAACCACAGAACTTGTTTAACAGGATTCTAGAAGAATGTGCTTTGCTTCAGGTGCATACAAATATATGAACATACAGATAATTCACTGCAGTTTGAGAGGGTATCTTCTCTTGTCACATGGAAAAAGAAATACCGTAATGTGTGCCCAGATGTTTGCAAGGTGCTAAATCATCTTCATAACTAAGGGCTGGTTTTTTATCCCTTCCTCAGCAAGAGAACATGAATTCAGCAGGGAGGAAAAGAGGAAAGCCCAACAGAGGAGGAGGAAGAGGGAGAGGAGGCAGCGGAAGAGGAGGAGGAAAAGGAGGCGGCAGCAGTGGCCGTTCAAACAAGTCTCAACTTGGTGGAAATAGGAAATGTTCAACCAAAATTTGGGATGATGAAGATGATTTTTGTCTCTTTGAGAAACCAAGGCTGGAATCCAGGTCTGTCTGTTAATCTGGGGAGGAGGGGGTGTGGTATAGAAATGTATGGGATACTTTGGTGCTGGTTTTTGGACATCTTTGGATATACAGAAGAGTGAAGGGGTGATGAAGCTGTTTCAGTGTGAAGCATTTTTTACATATCATTTTTGATTAACATTTTTAATATGTTATAGCTAGGAAGGGATTTTTTTAAAATATTAGAACCTCTGATTTTCTTCTTTGGTCATAAAGTAATTTCAGAATGTCTTTGATCAGAAAACAGTAATAAACACAGGATATTAATTTTTGTGTATTACAAAGCAGAAGCTGGGTCATGGAAAATAATGAACTTAGGATGAATTTAGTATCCTGAATTTATTCTGACGAATCTAGCTTAGACACATGTGGTTGTACTGTACTCTGAGAACAGCTTTACATAGCAAAGTGTTTATTAAATTACTTTGGATGTGACATAGTATAAAATACATATAGCGTGTGTGTGTGTGTGCAGGTATAGACACACACATCTTGGTCATGTAAGAATGAACCCAACTGGATAATACTTAGGTGATGGACTTGTCTTATTTTGGTTTTCCTGTTTTGAATTACGGGGTTTGATCGTTACACATCCCAGTTCAGTCAAGATCATTTGAGCCAGGCAAATAAGTTATTGTTACATTCTATTTTAATTTTTAGATCAAATGCCCCTGCCAGAAGAGGAGGGCAAACAAAACAGAGACCTGAAGTGAGAATGCCTCTGCAGACCATACACATGACATCAGAAAATCAGAGAAGAGTGAAAGAACTTCTTCAAGAGCTTCAAGGGCAGGAGCTGGCTCCCGAATCAGAGTTAGTTTAAACAGAGGCACTACCTCTAGCTCTTCTAGATGAGCCTGCTTTAACAGGCACACTGTTAGAAATGAAAGCAGTATTCTTTTTTCTCTTAACTTTTAATTTGATCTCAAATCCCGTGGTTTTGAGTCTGCTTTGTTCTTCTACAACATTAACTCTGGGAAAGGGGTAACAGAATCTTCCATTTAAATGGAGGATTTAAAACTGCAGAGGCAGAGTTTTATGTCTACTCAGTGGTATAGTTTTGTTTAATTTGATAACTCTTTTTATCAGAGTAGCTGGTTCTGGTGAAGATGATGACGAACCTGATTACCTTGATGATGAACAGTGCTGGTCAACAGATCAGAAAGTTTCTGACGTAATACCAAGGTTGTCTGCTGAGCCAGCTGAGCGTAGAATTGTGGAAAGTGAAGTGTCGTCATTTGCTGTGCACAAACTCTCCAGGTGATGCTTTTCAGTGAATAATATGTATCCTGAAGACATAAATTGCTAATCTCTATACTGTAAGCCCTCAGTACGTAGACTTCCTCTTGACTTCAGGGAAGTTCTGTGTGCAGAACTGATGAGTTTGTATTTCCTAAAAATTTAATCCTCAACTAGATGAATTTAAAATAATGGTTTTATGAAAATAAATTACTCCAGCCTTTCTTCAGTGATGTTTTCAGTTCTTTCTCCAAGACAATGAAACAGATATTGGGAAAGCTCAGGGAGCATGCTGTTATATGTGTGTTTCTTCCAGGTAGGTAATATTTCAAAACCTTGTAAGTGTTCTTCATCCATTTTGCTTAGATATGAGCATTTATTAATTATTTTTCCTTTGTTTGAGAGTGTTTTATACGTGAGAGGACTCAGCTTTTTCTGAAGAATTTAATGTATATAGTTCAACTAGGAAATCTAATCCTGTAACTACTATGTGCTAAAGGCTGAGGTGTGAGATAGTTGCCACATAAACTAATTTGTCACTTTATAAACAACAGACTAGCATTCACAGACACCAAATTACTTCCTGCTGCTGTCATATAAAAGAGCATAAATATTTTTATGTGGTTTTTTTCCCCCCAATAGTAGTAATAGTATCTCATGCCATACATGCTTCCTTACTGTAAGCCTAATTAAGCATATCTGTTACTTTGTTTCATACAAGTCTCTGTCACTCACTTGTTGCCATGTTGTCCCTGTTTTGTTGCAGGTATGGTTTTGACAGCGAGCGTTGCAGGAGAGTACTGAGATCCTGCAATGGTAATATTGGGGCATCATTGGAGTATTTGCTGTTGCAGTGCTTCACCGAAAGATATGAAGAGAAGATGCAGGTTTCTGCAACAGCTGCTGAAGCCAGTCAACAAGAATGTTTAGAACAGAGACAAGAAGAGGCTTTTGCCCTCCAGTCAATCTATGGAGAAAAATTTGTAGAAAGAATTCAAAACCGTGTTTGGACTTTTAGTTTGGAATTGGAGTACCTAGCAAGCAGGCTCAGCAAATCTAAACAAAAGGGTGGTTGTACTAGGGACACAGCAAAGCAGACTTCAAAGGAAATATGTAAATATTATCTCCAAGGAGGCTGCAAGTTTGGTTCAAAATGCAGATTTGGACATGAATTCCCTCCAAACCACCCACTAAATCAAGCCAGGAACTCTGTAGATGATGCTCATCTCAGATCTAATAGTGATGGTCCCATATATGAACTTGAAGTAAGATTCCCTGAAGAAAACAAGTATCCACTCCAGGCACCTCTTGTGGCATTTTATTCCACCGATGAGAATCTGCCTCTTGCTTGTCGTTTACACATTGCTGAATTCCTCTTCGGAAAGGCCTTGATAGCTGCAGAGTCTAATGAACCAGTGGTGTACACCTTAGTGACGTGCTTAGAAGATGAATCTGAAATAAGCGAGTTACTTAAAAATACTCACCACAAGTATAGCGTCCCTCCTGTGTCCGTGCCGGCAACACCTTCGGTTAAGCTGCAGACAGAGAGTACATCTGTTTCAAATCGGATGTCTGAAGGTACACCAAATTTCCATCTACGGTTTCCGGGCTAAGAACAGTCAAAAAGATTTAAAAAAAAAAAAAGGAGAAGTCAGAGAGCCCAACTCAGGCATCTGCTCCAAATCTGTTTCTGGAGATTAAGGTCACGTGGTGAGCCAGATCCATAATCTGTCTGTGTCTCAGGAAGTCCCTTCCATAATAAAGCTGCAGCAGAGAGGTTTTCTGCTGGCAAGAACTGAGT